TGGAGTAGAACCTATCAACTGATTTTCCAGACCCTCTCCACTAGCTCTGAGAGTTGGGCTCTTAGAGAGGATCATGAGAATGTCTGATCCTGATAATCAGGCTAGTAGGAGGTCAAAGAAAGCAAAAGAATAGGCAGAAAGGGGCTTTTCTGAACCTTTCCATTAGGAGCTTGACTGTTTACACGTATTTGCCAAGAGATAAAAGGACCGATCCTATGTTATCTCAAACCTTGGTATACAGTAGTATCACTTCTAAGAAATGTTATCATAAGAATTTGAGAATTGATCTGTCTCTTTTTTAATGTTCAATGAAGTCCTCTGGAGATTATCTGAACACTAATTCCCATTATATATAACTCATTTTCTTTAATAGGAGAATTTTGGGGGATCATATGGATCTCTGATATACTTACCTAAAAATCTGAATCTCAGACTACAGTGTCATCTTTACATTTCACCAAATTTGAACAGAGACTCTGCATGAATATAGAGTATTAAATTTAAACGCTACCTCTTCTCTTTAAACAAAATAATTTAATCTTACAATTTTAGAAGAAGTAACGTATAAAGACTTTATCCATTTGTCTTACTCTGGAGGGGAGTGAAATGGAGATTAAATCAGGGGATAAGGTATTAACTGTGCAACTCCAGAGAAGTAACTTAAATTCTGAACCTAATTCATGACCCATCATGGAGGAATGGATACTGTCTACATTTGTCTAAGGTCATTTCAGCTTGATAATTCCATAATACCCAGACCAGAGACTAAGTGTTACTGTGTTCTGTAACTCCCCTCTCCCATCAGGATCCAGTAAAGCCAGGCAAAGTTCTCACTAATTGTAGAATGAAAAGATTTGCGAATTAAACAAAGCTTGGGGGCGTCATTATCCATCCCCTGGCCCAACACATACACTCACAGTATATCACAATAAGTAAAATTACAATCATACAGGAGTTCCTCAAACCATTTAATGTCAATGACTACTACACTTAGATAATGTTGCTATTTAGTAGACTGTTCCTTCATCTTTCTGTCCTGGTCTCCTTGACCACTGCCTCCCCAGTTTTGGAACCAGGATTGAAATCTACAGTGAAAAATGAATCCTGTATCGATTCTTTAATTTCAAAAGTGAAATTTAGATTAGAATCATATTTCATTAGTGGAAACTTGCTGTTTCAGAAATCTGTGGTAGTTGAACTAATATAGCCCCCTCCACAGTTAATGCTCTCCATCTTAAAGGGTTTGAGAGCAAGCCAGTACTTTAGTTTCTCCTTCCTTTTTCTGACCCTGCTACATAGAGGGCATTTTCCCCTCATCCTAAGAGATGACAGCTAATGAGTAGAGTCTAGAAAGACACAGAAGTGGCATCTTCCACTGCCTCCTTAGTGGTAGTCTGGTCCACGTGTGAGCAGCAGGTTCTCTGGTGTGACTATCTAGATGAAGGGTTTGAATTACATACTCAGGGTCTTATTATCCCACGTTATCAGAAGCTGTACAGACAGACTTTCTTACTTTCTCCTTTGATTTTTAAAGTAACCTTTGAGAGAGGTGTTTTACATGGACAGAGATAACACTTGTATAAAGGTGATTACATACAAATATTAAAATAACGATCTCTTTAACACACATTGTGAAGGAATCCCACCATTTAAAAAGGGGCAAGGGATTGAGTAAACTTTTCTCCAAAGAAGGTAAACAAAAGGCCAATAAGCACAGAAGAAACTGCTCAATATGGCTACACCTTACTGAAATGCAAAGTGAAACCTCCATTTTTGGGGTGATACCAACTCATATCCATTATGATGACTACTATCAAAAACCTAGGAAAATAACAAGTTTGGGTGATGATGTGGAAAAATTGGAATCCTTATGCACTGCTGGTGGGAATGTAAAATGGTGCAGCTGCTATGGAAAATGGGATGGTGATTCCTCAAAAAAAATCAAAGATAGAATTTTCATGACCTAGCAGTTCCATCTCTGGGTAACCAAAAAGAAGAGAAAACAGGGATACAAATATATATTTGTCCATCCATGTTTATAGCAGTGTTATTCACAACTGCTAAAGTGTGGAAGCAATCCAAGTGTCCATCAACAGATGTATGAACAAAACGTAGCATGTGCACACAATGGAAAAATTATTCAACCTTAAAAAGGAAGGAAATCCTGCCATTTGTAGCAACATAAATGAAACTTGAAGACATTTTGCTAAATGAATTAAGCCAGTCACATAAACACAAATACTGCATGATTTCACCTCCATGAGGGTCCTAGAGTACTCAGATTCCTAGAGCCAGAAAGTAGAATGGTAGTGGCCAGAGGAGTGAGGCAGGGGGAGAGGAGAGATGAAGAGTTATTATTTAGTGGGCACAGAGTTTCAGTCTGATATGACAAAAAGATCTAATGGTGAGGGTTGCACAACAATGTCAATATACTTAATGCCACAGAATACAGACTTCAGAATGGTTTAAAAAAAGGAAATTTTATGCTCTATTTTGCTACAATAAAACCAGTCTCCTGAAATCTTTGGATAGTGGCAAAAATCAACAATATGCTAACTTTTCTTTATGCCACCTAGGAAGGAAAAAAAAATACATTGGAAGTACCGGCTATGTATTAGGCACTCACACATACACACCCAAAAGCAAGAACAAAACAAAACATAAAACCAAAATACCAAATCTTGATTACGCACTATGCACTATTAACCCTTGTTCACCACGAAGAAACTGTTTTACAAGTTAACACATCAGGTCAAGTATGATGAACAGAGGCAAGGCTCAAGGTAGACCTGCCTGACTGAAAGCCTGCCTGGTTTTCACTCCATGTGGTTCTTTTCTTCCACCCACAGTTGTCTTTTTGAACAGGCTTTCTGCTTTGACTACAGAGCTTTTATACTTAAAAGTTAGCCCGGCCTTCTGAAGTAGGCTAAAAAAGTCAGTGAACCAAGCACATTCACTACGTGCCCACCACATGAGGCCCAGGGCTGGCCATGAAATAATGGACTCATGTTTCCACTCAGCCATTGGCCATATGGCAGGGGGAAAAAAAGCCCATACAATTAAAATTTCAGTGTTGGTCGACTCCCTTAAAAGCCATTGAATACCCTGAGCAAAAGCATTATGTCTTTCAATATCCCATATGGCTAGAATCAGTCTCATTTCACAGTGTAGAAGCCTGGTCATCTTCTTCCTAAACATTCTACCATGATAATTACTGATCTGCTATTGCTAATGTTGTGCCTTCAGCTGGATTTTAACAATTAGGGAAATGTTTGGTGCTGTACAGGGAAAAAAAAAAGCCACACATCTCTTAGTTGTTTTCTGAAAGAGAGCAGGGAACCCTCTTGGCTCTTCTATACATATGGGCAAAGGACTCATTTTCTTACTCTGGTGTGAAACACACATTTAAGAGTCACACAGAGTCTACACATCCCCTAACAAAGCAGGGTGTGGGCAATATCTCAGGAACACAGACTGAATGAATAAGTACCAAGGGGTGAGTGCTGTTCTCATTCACAAGGTCCAGATTGCCAACTTTCTACTTCACTTACTAACTGGCAGTTTGATTCTAGAACTCCAGGCAGGGCCATTCTGGATCCACATCTGCCACAGATCTCCTCTCTGGGAAGTTTATCTTTACATGTTTTACTTTAGGAGTCAAACAGGAAGTGGAAACATGGACTATGTGACGCGACTTGTTTTGTCCACAGCTTCAATTAAATTTAACAATTTTGTTAGGGGAGCACCATGCTTTCGACATCAGTGATATTTCACCTCTTAGACATGGTACAGGTTTATTTTAATGAGAAATATCTTAGAAAAGCAGACAATTCTTTTTTCCCTTTGTACCTATAAAATGCTTATCTCTGAAAATGTGCTGTTACACTACAGATTTTGAGACATCAAATCAATGCCTAAAGATGGTATTAAAAAACCCAATAGTTCTTCACAAATGAAAATGTAATAAATGAGAAACCAACTGGTGTAGCGTTTAAAAACCTGTAGTTGAAGAATCTGTGCCTAAATAAATGCTATTTTTTACTCTATTATAAGCAGTTCTTTCTTTCCTTTGAAAAATTATCCCCTCATTCTAAAAACTCTAGACAAAATCTTTTATCAATGACCATTTATGGCTTAACCTCACTTTCTGTTGGAAATAAACCTTAATTTAAAAAATCATGCTACACTAGCGTATTCAACTCTTTCTCCTACATATCCTGCCAAAGGAAACTTATAATCACATTTCATCACATTTCTAAGCCATTAGACTGATTTCCTGCACTTTTACATATCATTCATAAATATGAACACATGGTGGTCTTTCACTGAAAGGGACTCTCATTAAGAGCATCCATTGCTCAAGAAAATCAAAGAATAAAAATCACATTATTTTACTATTTCCCTCTATCTGTGGTATATGCAGGTAAAGAACAACCCAGTTCCACTTTTACATTTCATCTCTCACTGAGGTTAATGTGCTTCTTGACCTAGACACTAATACAATCTATCTGAACCTAAAATCCATATATAAATACAGGCATCTGATTCTGGACAAGTTAAACCAAGCACACACTCCTTTGAAAAAGGATGCAACTTTAGGATCAGATCTACTGGCAAAGGGTAGCTCTCTCTGGGGTTATCCTGAAAGCAGCTGCACAGAGCCCAGGGAGGAGGACACTGGTTTTTTAATGGTAAATACTGCCCCTCACATACGCAATTCCAGGCTTTGTTGGCAAATTCTGAATACAAGAGGATTTAACAACAACAGCAAAAAAAAAAGAGAGTTGGAAAAAAGGAAAGCCAATTCACAGTCATCATGCTGCACAACGGAAGACACCCAGAGCAATATGCAAGAAAGATAATACGATTAGCATTTTACACCACTTACACCCCAAAACAGCAGACTGAAAGGCTCAGATGATCAGCCCACAGCTTCACAGCCCCAGCTGATTTCAACTCAGCCCTGCTTCTCTATCAAGACAACTATGCAAACAGCTTACCTTCGGCGGCGTGTTTTCCTGACCAGTCATCAAAGCTAAATACTAAAGCTGATTTTTTCAAAGCAAATGTGTCACGAATGTGATCCTTCTTAAAAGCCCTTCTCAAAGAACCCACCCCAACCATTTCTCTCCATCCTGAAGTCCCTACAGTCCCTTAGAAATCTGGCCTCAAAACCACAGGTGATGGTCGGTTTTCTCACTTAAAAAGGAGCGATGTGAAAAGCGTTTCCTTTACCTTCGCTCCTGAGGTTGGTCAGAGAAGAGTGGTTTCTCCTCTTTCCGGAGCGGCTATGTGCAGGCGAGCCCCAGCGCAGCAGCCCGCCCAGCCCAGCCCAGCGCAGCCCAGCCCCGCAGTAGTAGGAGCTGCCCACGGAGCGGCAGCCGCTGTGTGTATGTGTAGCAGCGGCGCCTGCAGCTCAGGGACTAGTCCCCACCCAGCTTTGTCTTCAATCATCACTCTTTCTACAGGAAGCAGCGCATCTCCCACTTCCTCCTCTTCTTGGTAACCCTTAGCAGCTTTCTCCTTTCCCTCTAGTTCCATTTCAGGGCTCACTCTAGTAATCTCATCTTCTCCTGGTTACTGACACTAAGTTGACTAGAATCCCCTTTTTCCCTTTGTTCCAAGTCCCTATGGTATTGTCTGTTCCTTCCTTCCCTTTTCACTCCCTCACCTCCACCCCACAGCACTTTGCAACTGCCTCCTGATTCCTTCCCTGCACACAGTCTGCTTTCTTAGCCTTGAATGTTGTTGCTGCTGCTGTTATTTTGGGGTCTGCAGCCCCTGGTCAGGTTCTGGCCTCAAGATCCAGCAGCAGCCTCCAGGAATTCTCCTGATTTACTCTGGCCCCTATCATTTAGCTACCAGGGAGCTTGCAGTGTGCAGCGTTTTGTTGCAGCATTTTTCTCTGTAGCCAACATTCCAAATGCTTCATTTCAGGCTCTCACTACCTGCTAATTAAGATCTTACTTAACCTACATGCTCAGAAAAGATTGGCCCTAGTAGGTATTTGTGTGGGGCACGGAAGCTAATCCAAGTTCTGCAGTGCTACCTGTAGCTTTGTAGTGAAGACATATTCCCAAAAGATTCTCAGTGTTGGGAAAAGCTAGGTGATGCTGAATGCTGTATATTCGCAGCCCAGAAATAGAACACTTTCCCCACTGGGGAACAGCCCCTCGTGACCCTCTAGTGTTTTCCCTTCGATCCATAAGAAGATGTTGTAGTGTTCTGGGTTAGGGAACAGGCTGCAGGCATTCTGTCTGCCAAGATTTGAATCCAAGCTCATAAGACTGACCATATGAATTTAGGAAAATTATTGACTTTTTATAACCTCAATTTTCCCATCTGCACAATGGAGTTGATTATACCCCACAGCAGAAATCTGAAGATTAAATGAGATGCTACGTAAAATGTTAATAATAGTTCCTGGAACATAGAAATGCTCAATACCTACTAGCACTTCTTATTTTTATAGGACAGGGAAACAGAGATAGCAAGTTAGTGCCACCAGGACCACTGCTTGGCTTCCCAATTTCCCACAAGTAGCATATCTACCATTAAACCCTGATGCTCCTGGTGACAGTTTGTTCAACTTGTGGGTCATTCTCTGTAATACCAACTGCAAGGACTTTGGGGAAGCTGGGGCAGAGGGTCCTTTCTCTGTGTGTCCAGGAAACAGTGATAAAAAAAAAAACAATAAAAAAACCTGTCCTTACTATATAGGGCAACAGAGTTAATTGCCCAACCTAACCTTTTAAATCCAGCAAGTTAAAGCACAGAATAGTTGGCAACCTAGGGCTGATGCAGATGTCAGAGAAGTGATCAGGTAAGCCTGTCTAACACACCTTGGGGTTCACAGCACATCAACCTCGAAAGCACCACATTTAATTTCTAAGAAATGTTATGAGACAGTCTCAGGATATGTTTTGATTTGATTTCATATTCCATGAACAGAATTTACTTCTTCCTGGGCATCTTTTATCAAAAAGGACACTGATGTCAACACATTGACATCAACAAATTACAAAATGGATTGTTCTAAGATGAAAAATAAGGGACTACATTTGAGCCACCAGAAAATAGAATTGCAGTGGTGAGAGAGGACTGGATGTAGATTCTCACAGCATCCTCCAACCCACAAATGGAAATTCAGGTGACAAAGGTTACCAGACTCTTTAATAAATATTAATAATTTAGTGTATGTCTCCATGCATACACACTTGTGCACATGCATGCATGCACGCACACGTGTGTGCACACACACACACACACACACACTCATAAAATGCCAAGGTGTTTTTTCTTTAATTTTCTTTTTTCTCATACTCTATCATCAGAGAGTGGTTGTTACTTATCTTTAAGTCTAATCTCTTTCAGACAATAAAATCTCTGAGAATTTGACTTGCTGTCTTCCAATTGGTTCTTCTATCTCTGGTGATTATAAAACCCTTAGTAGGTTGATCTGCCCATTGCTGGGAAGTGCCAACCAATCTCTCTTCAAAGCTAAAAAGTAGATTTTAATTTCTTTCTCTTCCTCAATAAAATCTCATTGCTTTTAATTGAGCTTAAAAACATCCTTTTCAGGGAGAGAAGAAAAATGTGGTTTGCCCAGGAGAAAAAATTAACCAGTTCAGAACTCTAACACAAGTGTGGTAAATGCATATTTTAAGTTTACCTAAGTGTTCATTCTTAGGACATAGAATTACAACTTAGTATTAATGGTTCATGCCATCAATTACTAAATATGAGCCTATCCTAGATACATCTTATCAATGTTTAAAACAAAAGCCTATAAATAACATTCATCAGTAAGCCTAGTTGTAGGCACTGATGACATGTATTTCAAACATCTGCCTGGTAGAAGAGAATGAGCATAACAAAGACATCATAACTTTGGCCTGATAGCTCTCCTGCATTATTGAGCATTCTAGCTGGACGCCCCTTGGAGGTTTTTAATACTAACATTCCTTACGTTTTATATATATATATATATATATATATATATATATATATATATATATATATGTAAAACCTTCTCCAAAGCTTGTTTCTATCTATATTCTCCACTTCATTTAATGCAAACCAGTTGGAATGCAAACCAGTTGCCCACAGCAGGAATATAAGAATGATAGCAGAATGACTGGTTTATTTGACCTCATATCTAATATAAATTTCATCCTTACAATCCCACCACAAAACTATTCCCTTGACCAAACCCACCTCTATATTTACCCTTGTTACTGTCTTATTACAGAAAACTATGTTTTCCCCTACATGACTACAATAGTCCATGCCTTGACCTCCAAGTCTTTCTTCTAAGTCATGCCTCTGGAAGTACATTTCTCAAATGAAGAGTTGCTCATATCACTGCCTTGTTATAATTTTTAGGTGTCAGTTCTTCCCATCTTTAAGTCTTAATTCCTTTGCTTGGAATATAAGGCCTTCCATGATGTCACCCAACTGCACTCAAACCTTTTTATCTAAACTGCTGCAAGCCCACACTCACCCATTCCACACCATCCACGCCACACCTACCCACTCCACATCCAGCCATTCATTCCACCCACCCACTCCATATCCAGCAACGTGGCAGTTTTCTCATGAGGCTGGGCTCTTCCCTGCATCTTGGTACATGCTCTTCCTTTGCCCTTATTCCTTCCTCCTTTCTGTCTGCTGGTCAGCCCATGGAGCCTTTAAGACTCAGCCTCTCTCAGCAGCCTTCCCTGATTGTGCAAGCAGAGCCAGTAGTGCATGGTACTGTGTCTATCTCTTCATTTCAGCACTAACTACAGAGTTGTTGTTTTTTTTTAAAGATTTATTTATTTATGCATATAAGAGCTGGGGTACAGGCCAGAGATGCGGGGGTGAGAGGATTCAGCCAAGACAGAGTAGGGAACAGAACAAGCAGGTTGACTGAAAACACTGCTGAGGGGAGCAGCGGGTGAGACAGGAGAGGTCTGCTGTGCCATTTGGTTTGCTCCCTGGCCGGCCAGGGATTGAACTGGTGCTGCAGAGGCTGCGAATTGCTTCATAGTGCAGTACTTACTTAACCCCTTGCCCCACCAGAAAGGCCCCTACAGTGTTTTAATGAGGTACAACATGTTCCTCTCACTCCATATTTGAGCCCTGTAAGGTTAGGGTCATGTTCTATTCATCTTTGTTTGTCACGTAGCAAGTAGTTAACAGATGTTTTTGTAGTGAAAAGGCATCGCTGGTAGAAAATTCCAAACTGCTTTTGTATGCCTCTAAGTGCCTGGGGTGTGAGAAAAAAAGGAAGTCTCTTACATGAGAAGTTGGTGATGGGATAAGAAAAAATAATCCCCTTGCTCTTTGCAAATTGTTTGCAAAAAACCATGATACATGCCCAGCAGACTCTGAATGTTTGCTATGTAGAAAATGCTAAAGAATCCTGGGGCAACTCCTGGTTCTGTTTCTGCACAGAATTGCTTATAAAGAACAGTCTGGCAGCAGAAAGTAATTTAAAAATAATTTTTAAAAAGAAATAGAAAAAAGGGAAAGTAAGCTGTTCTTTACTTGCATTTCTGGATGAACTTTAATTTATGAGCCAGAAACATTTCACATTCCCTTCTGCACACTCTAGTTTTGCCACCTCACAGCTGTCCCAGAGCTTTTCCTATGCCAACTCCTAACTCTTCCTCTCAGCTCTTAATAATATCGGTCCTCTCCCTGTCCTCCTTTTTGCCATGTCCCACTACTCCTTTACTACTTTGATTGACTTGTTTTCTCTGGCTAAGCCCTCCCTTTTCATTCCATTTCTCAGTTTTGGTCTCTATCCTTTCTCATTATTCTATTATACCAGAAAGGAGCCACAAATTGTACGAGGAAAGCCTTTCCAGGACATGTGGGCTACCATGAAGAAGGAAGAGTGAAATGGGAATAAGAGGGCAAATTCGTATGTTAACAAATCTTGCCCACTCACATACATTGTTGATACATTTAATGAAATAATTGGTGGCGAACAGTGATCAAGAATAAATGAATAATTGAGCTATTATCATCAGAATTTTATGCATTTCTTGAATCAACTAACGGGAACAGCAGCCTCTTAAAAACTTGAAAGAAAAAAAAAATTGGACATAATCATGATCTGATCTGTGGGTCACAGGATCATTTCCTCCCCAAGATATCTGAGCCTATTCCCAACTGTTAGGAGTCAAGAAGAC